TGCTCTAGTCTTGCTGGATAGATGGAATGATTTGGCTAAAATGCAGGTGATCCTTAACAAAGTCATCCTATATCTACTGGGCAGTATCTGGCTGGCTGTCACTCCTAAAGCTGTTAAGAGGCCACCGGCTGTGTTCCCAAGGAGGGAACACATGTAACAAAAGTGCCTATAGGCACCTCCAAGCAGCTTATCACATTTAAGGCTCTTGGCAATCTTGGGAGGTATGGCAAGTTCTTCCCAGTTTATAGATAGAGAAACTGAGTCTCAGCAGAATTAAGTGCCAGAATGTAGTTAGAATATAGCCAGGCTGACCTTGAACCCCAGCTCTTTTTGATTCTAAAGACAGAAATTCTGTCCAATTTAGAATGGATACTTACTTCTTGACTATTTCTTAGCATCCTGCATAAAGTTTGAGCTTGCCAAGTTAGCATTTCTTTTAAAAGTAGCATCTGAGGCTGTGATTTGTTTCCTGTGCTCATTCCCTGCTTTGCAGGAAGCCCTTCACCAGGTCTTTGATTTCTCTGACTTAAGTGGTCAGCCCTCTCCTCTGTAATCCAACACACAATCCTAACAGAATCCAGTTGAACGATGTTATCTGCTGTCAGTGCTGCTTAAATATTTCATGGTGGCCCTGCTTTAGGGACAAGCAAGGCAGCTAATGGATCAGCCACAGGCACCAGAAGGCTAAGGACAGATAGACAGTCCAGGAAGGAGACAAGCAGCCGTGGATGCTTCATGCTGAGCATCTTGCTAAGCACGAGGCAGCATATTTATAAGGTGCCAAATGTTATTTTCTTCTTGTTTTGTTTTGTTTTTTTGAACCAGAAATCAAACTTAAAACCTCATGCTTGCCAGGCAGGCGCTGTTCCACTGAGATAGATCATTGGCCCTAGGTGTCAAATGTTAAAATTCCCAATATAGGTACACTTTGGAACATGGACTTAGTAGAAAAAACTCCTTTAATGTTTTTTGGACCCTTCTATGAACCCTCACATGATCTCCTAAGAAATATACCCAGTCACACACAGAGACACACACAGACATCAAAAGGAAACTGTATGAGCATCCCAATCTGTAGATGGGCACATTGAGGTTTAGAGGATGCTATAACAGGCTTTAGAACACTGTGGAGGTAATGAAAACATTAGGATTTGATTCCAGTTTTCTCTGTCTTCATCAAAGAGAAATAACAACTTATTGGGAAAAAGTAGAATACAGAGAGTATCTGGTTCTCTTCCTCTGTCTTCAACCTACGGCCTGTTATCAGATCACTTCCCCATCTGAGCCTCAGTTTCCATCTTCAAAGGAATTCTTGGGGGTGTATTATGCCCATTAATTTCCACCATTCCCATTCCTAGCACCAGAGTAGGCAGGGTCTCCTGGCAGAGAAGCCAGGGAAAAGACCAGAGGAACGATAAGGCTGTTCTAATTCTGTGCCCAGGACCATGGCACAAAGAATATAATTACCAGTCTTGAGCAGAGACATAAGCTGCAGATCAGGGAGCTGTTTATATGTTGATTGGTTTTTTAAGAGTTCATCTGCAGAGATAGAATGCTGATGGGTAGAGGGAAATGCCAGAGAGGTTAATTCACAGGAAGTTGCCTCTGTGAGCTACCACACTGAGTGTTGCCAGGGAAACAGAAACTGAGTCTGAAAAGAGGCAGATGAAGGACTGTGAAAGGTGTCTAGCAAGAGGGGAAGTGCTTGGGTTTTGAATGCCAGCTTTCCACTTTTCATTATTGAGTACCTATATGGGCCAGGCACTAAGTTATGTCTGCAAAATAGGAGCAAATAAAACAGACATGTCCCTGCTCCCTTAGGGCTTATGTTCTACCACGGGGAGGAGAAGGTATTTAATGGGTCCCAAGGGTGTTGCAGGAAACAGGAGAGGATGGAGTGATTGACTGGCAGGAGGCACATTCATCAGGGAGGTGACAGAGAGGGACCTCTGAGCTGGGCCTGAAGGATGAGAGTCATGCAGCCAAGCAAGAGAGTCATGCAGAAAAAACAACAAGAAGAAAACCCTGAAGCTGTACACAAGTTATGGGAACTTCTGCTGATAGTAACAGAAAAGTCAGCCTCAAGGTGGCTGCTATGATAAGCTCACTTTTTAAATCTCAGTGAGCTGAAAGGGCTCAGCAGGAAGGCAGGCAGGGGTGGGAGAACACAGCTCTGTTCAATCATATCACCAGGACCCCAGTTGCATGGAATGTTACTACTCTGCCTGCTTCAGCATCTCAAGGCTGGATCCCTCCTTGGTGCCTGTAGAGCCAGGCACATCAAGACCTAACCATGTCTCGGGGAAACAAATAAATCGCTTGTGTCTTCCTTAAAACAAAAGCAGACTTATCCCAGCATCCTTTACTTTAGACTTGCCTTGGTTCACAAGCCTAGCCCCCTGGCCCCCACAACTGGTGACGTATCATTCTCCATGATACACTGGACACCTGATTGGAATGAAGTAACATAATCTTTCCTAATGGGTGAATGCTTTGACCAAAATCAGGGTTCTGCTGTCCAAGAGAAAGGGGAAGAGTGTATTAACATGCAGGCAGCAGTACCCAGTACCAATAGGAACAACCGGGTGGTTAGAGGTAAGACGAAACAGCAGATGTAGAAGGAATAAGGTGTACCAGAAAGCAGTAAGGTCAGGGATGCAGGCAGCGGATCCTTGATTTGCTTATGAGCAGCAAGGTGGCTGATCTGTTACAAATGAAGGCAATAGTAATATATACACCATGGTTCCTTGGTATCAATGAGAGATTGGTTAGAGGACTCCCACCGTCTGTCCCAAAATCCACAGATACTCAAGTTCCTTTAAAAAATGACTTAGAATTTGCACATAACCTATGTTTCTATCTATAGTTCTCCTATAAATTTTCAATAGTCTCTAAAGTTCTTATACTATCTAAAAATATATTATATTACACTACATTATCTAGTGTGTAACTGTCTAGTATAAGTACAACTTTTTCCATCTGCAGTTGGTTAAAACCACACAGCAGAAATCGAGTATACAAAGGGTCAACTAAATTCCAAAAATGTAAGACATCAACAATGATAAGGCTCACCATTATTTTATGTATCACTCAGAAGGAATAATCACTTTCAATTAAACTCTGGCATGCCATTGACTGTAAAACATGTTCTACTCTAAGATATTAAAATTTGAAAACAGGAATGTGTGCTTTCACACATTAGAATCATTGAAATATGATGGTATCAACTTTACAGCAGCCATTTAACTCCCCTGCCATTTAAGTCCAGGCCTCCTTTTTCTGTTCCAGTGTTGTTTGATTTTTGTTTTTCTTCCAAGATAGTAATAATGTTAGGATTGTACCTTGAGGACTTGCCAATGTATTTGGCTCATAGGGTGGGACAGAAAAAAATATTACACTGTCTAGAGTGAAAATAACATGTCTGAATTTTTCTTGGGTCACTGAGACAAAAAAGGGGTACTAGGTAAGACTCCTGCCCTCCTGGAGCCTGTGAAGCTGGGGATGCACCAAAGCCAAGTGCAAGAGCTTCATACACACACACACACACACACACACACACACACACACATACACACACACACACATACACACACACAGACACACACACACACACACACGCAGCTGGTGGTCAATCCACACTTTCTATTTTTCTTCTTGCAAGATTCCAACATAAGCAGATAGAGAGAATAATAATCTTTATTTCACCTCTTTTCAAAATCCACCTGCCCTAGAGAAGCTCCATCTTGCACATTGCCTTTGAGTCACCCATCCCTGGAAATGGGCACCACTGTGAACCCCTTGCAGCAAGGCCAGTTTAGACCCCGCTTTCATGACATGCCACCGGATGCACTAACTCCTTCAATCATAGTCACTAAGTGTTTCCATCTAAACCTCTTGAGGCTGCAAGGTACCAAATGTTTTGAATTAATTGGCTTCTATTTTCCTTCCTGTACGTGTGCCTCGGTGCCTTTTTAGAAGAAGATTGACTCAAGGAGTCCTCTCTGAATCCTGGCAGCCCTGATTCAACTTGGAGTTAATTAGCTCTAATATGCTGTACAATTCCCTCTGTAGCTTTTATGACATGGAGTTGAGGCATAATTTATCCAAGTGTATTATGAAAGAATTTTTTTCTTTTAGAAAAAGAAAAATACTGTGCATGTCTTTTGAAAGAATTCATTCAGTCAGTTGATTGTTTATTCATTAGGTATTTATGGAAGATACACCACAAGACCAAGCATTGCAGCAAGTCCCCTATAATTCATTACTAAGTTAATCCCTTTCAAGTCGGTATTCTCATCCCCATTTTGCAGAGGGTAATGCTATGTTCAGAATGTAGCCCAATATGCTGCAAAATTATTCTCCATTTGACCCCTACATTCTTCCTCTCTCATCGTCACTGATCTCTTTCTGTGCTGGATTCTCTTCTGCTGGGTTCAGCCAGTGGGAGACACCACCTATAAAAGACAGAAGTTAAAGCTTTTTCTCCCAGTCTTTTCTGGCTAGATGCATGTGGCTGCCCATCTCTGTGTCCCTCAGTGACTTCACTTCCGAAGACTCCAATAATGTCATTTGCTTTGTCTGTCCTCTCAATCTAGAGATTGTATCTTCTTCCCATTGTTACTGTCTCTTCAGGTTTCCTCCAGTCTGGTTTGCTCACCACTCTGAGAACTTTCACATGTGATCACTTCCTTGTGGCCCTCTCCTCCGAGCCATCTGCAGCGAGTGGTGTTCCCTCTAATGAGTCTGACTGAGACCTTGGTCTAGGACCATGTGGTCAATGGCACTTTCTACGTGTCTCTAATTCATGTCATTCTACCCTCCCTGCTTTCCTGAAAAGTTATTGTTATTTATTTTGGGGTAAGAAAAACTGAACTGTGTTTACTCTTCAACTATCTCTATACATTTTATGGGTCACTTAGCAGGCCCTTCCTTCTAGAGTCTACCAAGACCCTGGGCTTGCATCAAAGTTCTGTTTAAAATCACCCACTAGAAATCTTTTGTGTGATCCTTATGGGAAGATATGTCTTGCCGTAGACTCAGAGATGAAGCTGTAACCATCTGTTTAGGTGCCAGGCAAAGGACCACAAACTGCTTGGCTCAAAACAACAGAAATGCATCCTCTTGCAGTTCTTGAGCTAGAATTTTAAAGTCAAGGTGTCACGTTCTCCTGAAACTCCAAGCAAAATGCCTCCTTGCCTCTTGCAGGCTTCTGGTGGTGGCCAGCAATCTGCATTTTTTGGCCTGCAATTTCTTGGACTCCAGCCCCTGCCTTCATTGTCACGGGCATTCTTTCCTCAAGTGTCCACGTATGTGTGTATTTTCTCTTCTTCTGTTAACACATCAGTCAGATTGGATTAAAGGCCTGCTCTACTCCACTATGACCTCATCTTAACTAAGTATTATCTTCAACAGCTCTGTTTCCAAATAAAGTTGCACTTGAGGATATCGGGGGTCAGGACTTCAGCAATTCTTTTTGGGCAACACAGTTTGACTCAAAGACTAGAATCAACTTGGTGGAGGTTCTGACTGCTTCTTAAAATGATTCAAGAAAAGAAATCAAAAGTTACAATGAACAGGAAGTGGCAGCCCCCTGTGCTTTAATGATCACAGAGGTAAGCAGTGAGTAGACTGACTCACATCAATTACTATTCCCATCTGGAGTGACAGGGGTGGTGATAGTGGAGACCTGGAGAAGTAGATCACTGTATAGATCATCATTTCTATAGGACAGGTCTTGTACATCATGCAGTGCATATGCATATGTTGGTAGCTTGGGAATAAAGGTATATATTCTTTAAATCTCCTTTTATTACCTTTGAGAGTAACATTTATGGGTTGGCACCAGCCTGTACAATATGCAACACTGGTAGACTACAAGGGTAGTGCGGAAAAAACCCTGGTGGGAAGTAGAAGCGATATGGAGAGAGAGAGGCTTTGGACAGGAATTCATTCCACAGAGGTGCAACAATCAGCACTTCTTCCTACTCCTCCTCCCCCTTCTTTTGGCCTTCTTTCTTTCCTCCCATCCGTTGCTTTCTGAAGCTTCCCCACCCCTACTTGGTTGACTTCTAATATGCACCCTATTGTGATCTTCCTAAAGAAATAGGGGCTAGGCTACCTAGTTGTCACATGTTCAGTGATTCGACTGAAGAGAAGCAGAGACCACTAAGGGAGGTGTGTAGCGAGGAAGGCTGTGAGTGTCTGGGATTCATGGTGTCCAGCAGTGACAGGATATGGACTGAAATGGGTCCAATCCAAGCAAGTATTTGATGAATAAATGCGAAGATACCCTTAAAATCCAGGAGCAAACAGCAACAGTGGTGGAAAGTAGGAAAAAACCTTAGCATCCTATTCTGGGTGCTTTTTTTAGGACTTCTTATTACAGGAAAAAATGTGATTTACATTTTTTTGTGGTTACAAAGTATATTAATAGCCAAGTATGTGTTTATCATGGTAACGTAACCAAGACGAAGTTGTCTGAACAACATATGAATTCCTCATTTAAATTTTTTTCCTTTTTTCCATGAAAGAAAGAAATATTCAGATAGTCCCCCAAAATAAATAGCAAATAACAGATTTCCTTTCCATTTATGATTCCTGGTCCCAGAGACACATATATTATGGGTTTTCCTTAATTATCTTTAACATATAATCCAATAATGATGGTGCAAGCCTATAATCCCACCACTCTGGGAAGTTGAGGCAGGAGAATCACAAGTTTGAGCCCAGCTTGAATAAATTAGCAGTTTAGCAAGACCCTATCTCAAAAAATAAAAAAGTACCTGAATTCGAACTTCAGAACTGAGAAACAAAACAAAGTAAAAAAGTAATATATGTTCCAAATGAAAACACTCTAAAGTTAATATAAGAGGTCTGTTGTTAATGTTGTTTTGTTTTGTTTTGTTTTTCCCATTCGAATAAGGCTTATTTCTCTGGGAACTCCAATTTTCTTATAGTAGGTCATACTACCTCGAGATTAATCAGCAGAGCTAGGGCACATGACCAACTAAGCCCAGAAATACCTTGTGAGATATGTGTGTGGTTGTTATCATTTGTAGTTAAGGTTACCCACATTTTACTGATAAACAACCTGAGCTCCAAAAGGACTGAATGACATACCTGAGGTCATAAGATTTGACCACAATCAGTCTGGTTGTTTTAGTACATTAGGCTTCCTTTTCATTTATTCAAAGACCATTGATATATTTTGTGGTTAGTGACTCCCAAGTCACTTTGAATAAGTAAATTACTGATTCAATTGACCAATTCCTAAAAAATATTAAGTAAGTACCGATTATGTGTCCTTTACTGTACTAGATGGCTTTGGAAACAGTATTCAATTGAGGGATGGCTGGACATTTTTGTCTTGTTGAGCTCCCAGGAAGAAGTGGAGTCTATTCTGAGTCTACACTGGCTTGTGACCTTCTTTGCCCAGTGGAATGTAACTAGAGTGATGTCCTGAATCTTAGAATTCTATTTTCACATCCTCAGATTGATTCCTGTTGGAATCCAGCTACACAAAGCATGTGTCGAGACCCCGTGGAAGAGAATTGAGCAGTCTACTAGACAGCTGGAGTTGAACTCTTTCCAAACTGACAGTCAGAAATCTAACCTACTTGAACACAGGAGTTGTTCACAGCCATCACAGTAAGCCATTTTAATAAGTTGTGACTCCAGTAGATCACAGTCCCCACTGACACTGCATAGAAGAGAAAGCTCAGCGAAAAGAACCCAGTCAACTGACAGTCAGGAGAGATACTATATGGCAGTTGTGTTAAGTCCTAAAGTTTGGGACAATTTGCTATCCAGCAATAGAAGGGGGAAACATAAGGTTATTTTGAAATAGCTTGCAAACGAAATTCTGAAAGTTTTGTATACTTTTTCATAACATTTTCATACATATATGTTGTGTTCAAGTAGGTTAGATTTCTGATTGAAATAGGTACTTCATGAGTCCATGATGGGATTTTTGCCAAGAAATGTGAAGATCAAAGTCTGCATTTTAGGAAGTCCATCTTGGTTGAGATGGAAAAAATAACTAAACAGAAAGAAACTGGAAGCAGGAAGACCTCAAGCAGTGACAGGGAATGAAGATGGTGGCAGCACAGTCAAGGAAGCTGGGGATGAGTACAGTGAAGAAATACTGAGATCCAGAGGGAGCTAAAGAGGTGTGAGGAGGATGTCCAAATTTAATTCAATCCGCCGTGTATAATAGTGTTGTTAACAGGGATGGAGAGTCTTCAAAAAGCAAAGCAAGTATTAGTCATCTTTGCTTAGCAGGCAACAGTATTGAGCACTGACTGGCTTCAAATTCACCCTCCAATAACCCGATTGTGTCACCTGTTGCATTTCTACTTAGAATCTCTCCAGGTGTGCTCATTCTCAGCACTTTGCTCCTGGTTCTTCCACTGTCACCCACAGGTTATGTTTCTCGCACAGAGACGCATTTCAGCGACAGGTCAGCCCGAGACTCGGTGCTGGTTCTTGTACCCGGCCCTTTCCTCCCCCAGGTCCTTTGGTCTGCATTGCAGACCTTTTTCCGTTTTCCACTTCTTTGTTTGGCAGATTCTAATTTCAGGAGTCAGTCATCACCTGCTCCAAAGCTTTTCCGGCTTAGAGAAGAAGGGGCCGGTCTCCTAGATCCGAGAACACCCGTGTTTACCTCTGGAGCTGCTCTAATCAGATTCCATTATAATAGCCCACTTCTGTGTCTAGCTTTCTCACATGACAGAGAATCCCCTGAGTATTTGTGACTTTAGAGATGGCACAGAGCTGGGCAAGGGCTTTTCCCAAGCATTACCTCACTCCTCAGCTACTCTATGATCGGAGCCATTTTTATATCTTTGCGGCTTTTCATTTCCCAGTACGGTGACCCTGGGGTAACACTGCCTAAACGAATTCATGCATGGACTTGGTTGTGCATGGCAGGGTGGGCTTCAGAATTTAAAAAAACAAGACCGAGAAATACGCCCAAAGTTTATACACAACTTCCTTTAGTGGTGGCATTAGTGAGAAGACAATTAGTCCCAGGGTAATGTTCTATAACTAAAACAAGTCTCTGAGGACATAAGAGGACTCTGAAGAGAATGAAATTGCACAGGGAAAGTGGGGAGCATCAGCAGAAACGAGGTGCTGTGAGGTAGAGAAGCTCAGCTGATCCCTACATCCTAAATTCCAGACCCTTTTCCCAAACTGCGTGTGGGTTAAAGACCTTCAAATTATACTCAGAGCTGTGGGCTCCAGACCACCCTTCCGCAGAGCAATGACTGCAGAGCAGTCTTACAGAGCCTGTAATATTGGCCCTGGAGACTCAGATTCTCTCTTCTATGCTTGGGATCAGTGTCCCCAGAGGTCTATGTGTTAAATCATTGGTCCTAAGGGTTATGCTATTGGGAGGTGGTGGAACTTTTAGAGGTTGGTTTGGTGGGGGGAGATAGATATAAAATACTTTAGGTCTCTCAGTCTTTAGCTCCAGATCATGCTACTTGGCATTGCCATCTGAACCCACCAGAAGTTCAAAGAAATGTGCCTGCCTCATGTTGCAATGGACCCCCTAAAGCTGTGAACCAAAACAAACTTATTCTTCTTAGAAGTTGAATATGTGAAGTATTTCTTTATAGTGTTCAAGAACTAACTAATATATGCTCCAAAAGCTTCCGCCCTCTCTGCCCTTGGTCAAGGACCTTTGGTTATAGGTCTGGGGCAGGTGTCAAATGGAGGAATAGATGCTATTGGATCCTACCATCAGTGCTAGGACAGTATCAGGGTGTAGGGTCAAGGTGCTGGCTAAAAAGGGCAGGTGATATAAACACGTAAACTGTACCAAGCGTGACACTTGGGGAATGGTGGAGATCGCGGAAAATCAGAATGCATTGCTCTCAACTCTCACTAATTCTTGCCATGAAGGAATGTTGGTTCAAGGGTGACTAGGTAATCTTACTTTTCTTCAAGAAATTAGAATTTTAAGTGAAACCTCCCACTTTTAAACACTGAACATGAACTTTTAAAGTATTAAACTTCTGGCCAAACAAAGCACAGTGCTCCCAGGTGAGATCTCTTCTACTGATGTCCGGCACCCCACATCATCCATATGTACAGGCTTAACAGCACAGTCACAGAGTTAACCATTTATACCTTGATAGGTCTGGATGACAGATGAATCTGCAGGCGGCAATGGGAAGATTTGGGGAGTAAGAAAAAGGAGATTGAATTTTGGTCCATATTTCCTGCGTATGTGGTGTTCATTGAGCTTTACTTTCCACATCTGTAAAATGGGGACAATAATGTGATGACAGCACTGCCATAGCCTATAAACAGTGATCCTCTACCACAACCCCATGATCCTTCCTTGCTAACAGAAAATGGTTTTGTTAATGAATTGGAGGAGGATTGGGGAGCTCAGTGGGATGAACCTTGCTCAGTTTAAGTCACTGGAGAGACTGGAGAGATTCTGTCCCACTTTGTTAATGATTTGCCCAGGCATGAGCATGAGACCCATGTTAGGATAATGAACTGGGGAAAGAAGTCTGCTGAGGGAGTTCCTGAGATATGTCTTTCTCCCTGATAATAAAAGAGAAAGTATTAATAAAGAAGAGACCCTATTCTATTACCACACTGTTCTTGTTCAGGACATTGCCAGGTGAGTACATGATGCTTGAAGCTATCGCAACTGTTTTGTGACCATGAGGGAAAAGTCAAAAGAGTCAGAATCTGGGATTTGGCCTCTAGAGTCCTGGAAGTATGGAGCTTGCTTCCAGACATTTTGTTAAGAAATAGTAAATGCCCTATGGCTTAAGCCATTCTTCCTCAAGCCCAAGCATGCATAAGAATCATCTCGAGGGCTTGGTAAAAACACAAATTACTGGCCTCACTCGCTGAGTTTCTAATGCAGTGAGTGAAGGCTGAGTCAAAGAATGTGCATTTCTGGCATTTCTGGTGATGCTGACGATGCAAGTGAACCACATTTGGAGAGTTATTCTTCAAGCCATGGTTAACTGGCATTCTACAGCTTGTTGCAGAAAGCCCTATGACTGATACAGAGACACAGAGAACCACTGTAGACATGAATGGAGGTACCGTATGGCTCTAGCAAAGGCAGAGTGTTCATTTGGGAAACTCTTAGCTTCTCTCTGCTTCCCCTTTCATCTGAAGGTGCTGTTGTCCATGCAACCCAACATGGCACAGGTGCAGCTTGAATTACAGCCTGATTTATGGTGAAGGAATCCTTCTCTACGAACTATCCACTGTGCCAGAAATGGAGACGGTGAAGTTTCAGCTCTGGAACTTCCACCACAACCTCTCAGCTCAGGACGGTTGAAAAAGCCTGAAGAAAACACGTTCAGACTGGCTTCTACCTTCCGTACTCAGCGGCAGTTCAAGGCACTGGGGAATTTAATCTGTTGGGACACTGCTCTGATTTTACAATGTGAGGACTTTGGTCAAGGATAAAGGATTCCAGGTTTGGAATCTCCTTGCGTAGCTCTTTCCAAAAGCCTTCCCTGTAGTGATCTTGGACATATGTCATACACTCACCTAATCATGCTTAGAAACCAGTACAACTATTTACTATTATCTCCCATCGTAGTTGGAGTCTCCTGGAAGCTTCCTATTACAGGCTTGCCTCTTGGACTTGGCCTTTTATTTCCCCTGACCATGTTGTTTCTCATCTATTTTTCCCTTTCATAAATGTCTTCACTCAGGTCCTCATCATTTTCCTTTATTATTCTGTGCTAGTCATTTTTTTTCTCTCATTTGGAACATCTTTAGGGAAAGACAGTATGAATCAGTAGAACAGTCTGAAAAAGCCACTTTAGACATGTCCAGGAGCCTTCTGTAGCCATGGGCCCCTTAAATTTCAATTTACATACCTATCCCCGGTAATTGTGTTAAAAAAGATGATTCTCTCTGGGTGGGCCTGAGATTTTGTGGGTACTATTGACATGGCTGGTCCATAGACTACTCTGAGTAGCAAGTTTCTAGACTTGTATTGTCAAATAAGGCAGCTATTACCTATCAGAGCCTGTTGAGCCCTTGAAACATACCTAATGTAACTTGAGATGGGCAGAGGTATGGATGCAGGATATACACACAGGTTTTAACAGACAATACAAAGAAGAGTGGAAAGGTCTTTATATATAATTTTTATCACTGATTACTTGTTGAAATGATAATATTTAGGGTATTTGTGTTAAAGTATATTGCCAAAATTAATCTTACTTCTTCTGTGCTTTCAAAACACGGGTTACTAGTATGTTTTAAATTCCACCTGTGGCTGCATTTGTGGATAATATTACATTTTCATTAAACAGCATCATTTTCAGTCCTGCTCTGCATACATACTAGGGATCATGGATGCCATGTCCAAGTTTCTAGGAGCTCATTTTTGGGAGCTGCGTAGACACCTTCCCAGGTCTGTCCTCCCAAAGCTGAGTAAGGTGCTTTAGTGCAAATCCTGAAGTCTATTGGTAGCTAAAGTGGCTGTCAGTGGGGCAAGTTGTGATTGATAGGGCTTTGATTCCCAGATGTTCCGGATTGCACAAGCCCTGGACAAAGATGTAGGTGGGAGAAGTGAGGGCAGGGGCCAAACCTGGGGCTAGGGACAAGCTGTCCTGTATTACCACCCTGAAGCACAGAATTCTGAGGCATCTGAAATTTCTGAATTCAATCTTCACCCTCTGGATAGAGAGATATATTTGTCAAGGTATATGAACAGAGCATATTTTATTTAATAGTTTGTAGTTTGATTTATAACTCTGATGGATGATATGTAGGTCTCTATTTGTACTTTTGCCCTGGGCAAGTAATTACCATCCAGGTTTATAAGGGCTGTGATCTGATGTACAGGGTGCACAGTGGAAGCCTAGAAGAGGGCTTTGCCCTGCGTGGGACAGGTGATTTTTGAATAATAATGAGTCTAGAATAAAAGATCATGATTGAAGGACCACACTACAGTTAAAATAAATCAAACCCACTCCCTCTTCCCACAATAGAAAGGCTGGAATGATACCCCAGCATCTACCTGCTGGGCTAGGGACCTGGGAAGCAGTGCAACAAAACAGATTTACTTCCTGGCACACCTCATTTTTGTAAGCATGGAGCACACTTTGTCACACTCTCCATATTACAGAAGGCTAACTAAACACTGCAGGGTGCCAGGGTTGAATCAGGCTTTTCACCAACCCTAGTTCCTTAAAACCCCAATGGCACCACACTGGCTGGTGGTAAATAAATGGACTTTAGCACAATACAATTGGTTTCGATTCCAGGTTTCCCTCTTTAGGTCTCAGTTTCAACATCTCTAAAAAGGGTTTGATTGCAATAGTACCAGTGATGGCCCTTAGGAAGACGGCTTGAAAGGATATTTATAAAGGACATAACTCACTGAGTGGAACACCAGTTCTTACGACCTTCATTTATAGGTGGAACGCTAATGTGGCTCGGTGAGGACATGTTGCTTAAAGACTATATTTAGCTTTTGTATGGAGCTGGGATTCTCTTTCATTCCAAGAATACTCATTCCTGCCGTCACATGGCCTCTTACCAGCAAGCTTTTCTCCAGCACAAAGATAAATTTGCTTCCTCTTTCGTGTGGAGAGCTTGAGAGGGAAGGTTAAAAATAATCCTAGGTGTGAATCTGATGGTGTAACAAGGGATGTGCCTTGATTGGGTTGGGAAGGGAAGGAAAAGCCCAACTTTTTGGCTCTTCCTGAGTCTGTGACAAGCTTCTGAAGCCAGAATTGCAATGACAGAGCAGAGGTTTTTCTCACTGTCTCCAACCTCCTTCCCCGTCCCCTCCTTCCACACAGAACACCTCTCTGATTCTAGAAGCCAGGTGCAGTGTCTTCTCTAAGAGGGGAATCCTGAGAACACCCAGACTCAGATCTTCCCAGTGAAATTTGTTGGCTCACACGTCAGTGTTGCTGCTGGGCCACCCTACCTAAAACGCTGTCTCTGCTACTTCTCGGCCCTGGTCCACTTACTCTTGAGCAGAGAGAGTAAGGTTTTAACATCCACCGCACTGAGCACAAGCTGACTCACCTTGACCACTCCTGTGTTAGTCTGCTTCTTGCACCTGCCCCTGCAGAAGGGAGGGAGGAAGCAGAGAGCAGGCTCCTCACTGCTGTGTGCCTGGAGCCTCCAACATGTGAGATGCCTGGCAGTCCTCAAACTTGGCTGTGCAGTAATAAATGTATGCACATTGGCATAAATGAACAGAGGAAGGAAGCATCATTTCAGGTCCTGGTTGTGTACTAAGTTGCTTTCTCTCTCTGGGTCCCATTCTTCTCAACTCTAAAAACTACAAACGCACGGGTGGCCCCAGCCTGGGAAGTCTCAAAGGGAACCTCTCAGGTAACACTGAAGGGATCAAACAGGGAAGTCCCGTGCTCATATTTGCATTAGAAACCACCAAAAGAAAAAAATACATGGTGGGGCCCATAGAAAGTAGAAGGAAGAAGCCCATTCTGGAGGCCAGAAGGCTATGAAAGATGCAAAGGCCAAAGAGAAATGAGTCATCCAGGTTTCTCAGAAGGCAGCAGATAAAGCTCACAAATACACTGAAGTGACAGACTGTTACTAGGAACCCAAACGGTGTCAAGTTATTTATATGTGGCTGGAACTGCTGTCTCTGACCCTTTCTTACACACACACACACACACACACACACACACACACTTCCTTATCACCTGGATCCACCAAATTATGATTGCTACGGTTTAAAAAAACTGATATTTTAATAAATCACCTTCCCAATGGCTATCTATAATTAACTCCTTTACATGTGCAGCTTACAATAACATATAAAGTTATATATGTACAATCATACAATCGACTAACATAGTATAATAAATAAAAAACTGTAAGTAGAAAACAAAGCAGGGTTAGGAATAGGTTTACTAGATCAAGACCAGGAAGTAAGTTAAAACTTAAGAAAATAAAAAGAGCCTAGGTTTATAAGTTGAGCCATAAATTTGTCTTCCGAGCGTCCTTGTGGTCAGAACACCATGATGCTTGAAATGCAATAACAATGTAACGCTATATTATTTGTATTATATAAGAAAATATAATCTAGTATCTTAGGGGAAAAACTTTTGGGGGGACTTTAAATTGGAAAGAAATAACTTACATTTTTTATAAACATAGGATAATACTATTTGTTTTTAAAAACATAAATATAGACAACAATTTTGAGGGAAATCTACTAGATCATTGATCATAATTTTTTCTCTAGGCATCTGGGGGGAACTATTAGTGACTTATTATTATTTCTCTGAATTTTCTAAATTTTCTAGAATGTGTAGTTGTAGAATTTATAATTAGGAAGGCCCAATGAGTTGATTTTCAATTTTTTATTATGGTGAAATACATAAACATAAACTTTAGCATTGTAATCATTCTTAAATATATAACTCAGTGGCATTAAATATATTCATACTGTCGTGCAAACATCGCTACTGTCCAGCTCTGTAACTCTTTTCACGTTATGAAACTGAAATTCTACACCCACTAAACAGTAGCTTCCAGTTTTCTCTCCTGCAGCCCCTAGCAACCATCATCCCACTTTCTGTCCTTGTGATTTTCGCTACAGTAAGTAGCTCAGTGGGTTTTTATACAGGGAGAACTAAGCGATGTCACGTGTATCCTCCAACTTAAAACACAGAAATCAGTTGTATTAGAAATCATTTTATGAGAGTGATAATATTGTCTGATCAAAAACAGAGACATAAGGCAGAAGAAGGGCTGGGCAACATGTGTTTGGATTTGGGAATCCCCACCAATTAATCCTATAATTGAGACTTTTAAAATCAAGTCTTCTTGGTAGAAAAAATAAGCAAAAACAGCTATAAATTTACTGAATCTTTAGTCTGTGCTAGGCACTATGCTAAGTATGTGACCCAAATGAGCTCAGTCCTCTCCCAGACCTGAAGCATTGTCCCTCTCAGCCCAAACTGTAGGGAAAAGAAGGGGGCTAATCACTTCGTGCCCATCATTAAGGTCACAGCTGAACACCCCCATAACAAAAGAACATTTGACAAGTGAATATTGATTCAATCAAAATTTTGCATGCACAGAAGCTTTCAGAGTGAAGATCTAGAGACCCAGAGGGAACTGCCCATTTTTATGCTCAGTTTCAACAAAGCAGGCACAGCCATGTAGAAATATGATTGGAAAAATAGGTCTGAGCTAATGCCAACAGATCAAATGGGGGAACCAGCCAGGCCTGTCTGTTTCGGATCTTCTCCTTTGTTCCTCATTTCTGTATCATTTCTTCCCCTCCTGGATGAAGCAGGATTCCTCTGGGATAAGGGTCTTGATTTTCTTATGGCCAGCCATTCTACAGAAAGGCAGTTGAGCATTACAGTAACGATTTTTGGCTCTCTGACTGGCTTTGCGGGAGTTCTGGTTTCAGTGATCTGCATTGGGGAAGAGGAATTCTAGTGTCCTTGGCCTCTCTCAAGGGAAAATCAGAGGCAAAAGACAGGAGGGTAGGCAACGGTCAGACAGCAGCTTTACTGCAGGGAAGTTCATTTTGGAGGGTCATTTCTGAGTCTCAACAGTCCCATCAACTGATGGATTTAGTCAGTTGTTGTGCCCTGTAGGAAAGCCAGAGCTCTGAACACTAATCCTCCTGACCCAGATCTCAAGGCACAATGGGACTCTTCCTTTCTTGGTTAGCCTGTTACACATACTAAAGAAATGAGTAAATGGTGACAAAGCCCATTTTATTTCACACCAAATCAGAAAGGAAGAAATTTGCAGAAAATGTTATTCTACGACGAATGCACAGAAACGTCCACATCAGTTTCAGAGAAAGAAACTGATCAATCCACCAATGTATAGTGAATTATTATAACATGGTAGATTTTTATTCAGGAAAGAAAAACGAATAACCTAGTAGTATAAGGTGTCAAATATGTTGCCCCCACAGTGCTGGCAGGAGGCAGAAAAGGATAACCTCACTAAACTCCACGCAGTCAGGCTGTTTGACAGGTCCCTATCTTCCATCCTTTGCCCAAATTCCTGGGTTCATTAGAAGATAAACACTTCAAATTTAAAATCTTGTTGCTGGGGGAAAAAAGCACTAACTGAGTGATCCACGTTTACACACACACTGAAGTACAGGATTTGGGTTCTGGAGAGAAACAGAGTTGAGTTCAGGTCTGATGGTGACCTCATTAGGTTTCTTTGGCAAGTTATTTATCCCCCCTAATAGTAAAAGCATTGACCCCATAGGGTTATGAGAGGTTCAAGTGAAATGCAGGCTGTTAAGCTTTTTGTCCTATAACTGGCACACAGTCAGTGTTTAACAGATGAGAGTTATAATTATTTCTTAGTTTAAATTATATCCCATCCCTGAACCAGCCACACTGGCCATGAGATGTCATGTTCTGACTGATGGAGCCTGGGTCATGGAGTGGCCTTCTGAAAGGATGATCCTGACTGCTGCAAGGACTGAGAATTTCAAGAAGTCAAGAGTGTGTGTGGGAGAGCAGTGATCCTGAGACCATTACGGGGATCCAAGCAAGAGGGGATGGCTGCTAGAAAGAGGGCAGTGATTGTGCTGTCAGAATTGAAGGCCAGCTTCTGATGGGCTGCAGGTCATGAATAATACACTCTCTCCGCTAAGCCACTTCTTCCCCATGAGCATAAAGAATGTTGAGCAACATCTACTACGAGGCTCCCTTTTCTACTCCAGATCAGGCTAGCATGCTCTTCTGGCATCTTGGATTTTTAGGAAAATGCAACCCCATGGAAGGAAAGCATATTGCCAAAACCATGCAACCTCATGGGAGGACAGTATTTAAATGATAGCATATAGAGATAGGGGCAGCCTCAAGAGCACACTGCCAGTCAAAGCCATTGGCTATGCCTGGGGATTGGGAGCTATTTTTCCCAAGCCTCTGCTACCCATCCTGATCACAAACAAGCAGCCTTGGCTTTCGGAACAGGAAGTAGCCTGACTTGGGTTGCTGCTCTTCTTGGCAGCTTCCCTCCTGTCTCTTCCCAGCAGGCCCTCCTCCAGAAAAAGGGGTAGGGAGCTCTTCTGCAAGAAGAAAAACAAATCTTTCATAGAGCCCTGGAGACACAGCATGTGCAGTGGTACAAGACAGAAGACAAGGGAAGAAGACATCATGGTAAAGCTGTAGCACAGCCACCATTTCTGTGCAAAGCACAGATGGGATGGAGAAACCAAGTATCAAACACGAAGGGAGGGGACAGGACAGTTGATGAGAAATGACCATGA